TGGTGTCGACGTCTCTGCCGCACTTGGCGACCACCGGCTGCGGCCACCTCCTGCTCCCGTTCGTGCCCGTCCGGGAGCGCCTCCGCGACGCCGTGGAGTCCTTCTTCGACTGCCAATTCGATCTCTTCATCGAGTTCACCGGGATTATCAGGTGCACACTTGTCTTGTTGCGTTGTGTGGACTTCTCTTCCTGTCTGCTTGGTTCTACCAGTTTAGCTCCAGCATCAAATTGGTGCTTTCAGCGTGTCTGTTAAGAGGGATGGAACCGAGCGCGGTGAGTATGGGTGCTTTGTTCAGCTACCTTAAGTGTGTTGACCAAATTGGCGTCGTTTCTCACTGGATTAACGGCTGCTGTAGAGTGTTTCCATGTGGTGTCAATACCAACGATCAAGTGGACTCGGCAGATTTATGCTAGTGGTCTAACAGTATGCAATATTGGGCTAGTAGTGTGAATGCTTTGGTAACATTGGAGCATTAGTGCGATAGTTTCCTTCAGTATGTGATGGCTGATTTGTACTGCATAAGCCATATGCAATTCTATTTCCTTATTTGGTAGTCGCTGCTTTGATGTTGCTAGTTGGGTTGGTAGGTTTTCATTCATGAGGCTGATCCCTTGGTGATCACTGATCAGAATCATGGATGCGTTGTTTGCTCTTGTTTGTGTTTCTACTTTGGTTAAACTGCTGAGCTTCGTAATTTCGTTACGCACGTAATGAAATTCGGTTTGACCGTTGTGGGGAAAAAAAAATCTATCACCTTATTAACGTTACGTGCACATTCCTTAAAAAGTTGGACAATCACATCTGAACGTTCTTATAGTGCTTGACACAACATGCTAAAGTGATTAGCTTCTCTCTGTTAAACCCTGTCTGTTCGCTATGCAGTTGGTGCAAGGGAGCTTCTATTGGATGGCACAGTGATGACAATAAGCCTTATCTTAGGCAAAGGGCATTCACAGTAAGGACCTGTCTTTGTTTTTTCCTTGGAGTTTCGTCAGTTCTATGTAGGCATGTTCCTGTTAATATATTGAATCTATTGTGCCTGTGGCTAGTTGTCACCATCTAAAGTGATTAGCGTCTTTCTGTTATCCGGGATCTACTTCACAGCGCTTCAGAGTTTAGACTACATCCATGCATTGTATATCTGGGCTTATATGTGCTCAGTGATTTCCGGGTGTTCTTCTAACTAGTCGGGGGTTCTATGGAATTCACTCTTACCTTATGAAGTGACGTAGTACTGTACTTTAAATGTAACTGAGAACTGAGATACTCCGGAAGATCTAATGCGAGCTGTCACTTGTTGAGATAGCCTGTGTGGTGCCATGTTAAATTGTGTCTTAGCGATATTTTGAAGAAGAATGGCTTGTCCCAGGTTGCAATAGGTTTCATTTAAGGCCTACTTTTTTACCTTTCATGCATGCTGCTTTCCAAAGTGTCCTCAAAGCATATCCATAGTAACACTTTCTGCTTTGTCATTGTTTCTTGCGCCAACTGCATTTTTTTTAAGGGCCCGTTTGGATCCTTGGAATTGAATTCATTCCAATAATTATAATTTAGGCACAACTTAATTAAGCTAATATGATTGTATATGGAATATATTTGTATATTATTGTTAGCCATACAAGGGAGATACTTCTATATTGCATTTCTACTATAGGGAAGCGAGTTGAAGACCATGCTATAAGATGGAGAGTAGAAACATAGCATTGTGATCTATAGAATCAAATTCCATCTCCCACCCTATGAATTTGAGATAGGCTTATATGTCAACTTGGGAAAGTTGTGGAATGCCAAATTTCAAACCAAATAACCTAATTTACTGAGTAGATTCCAATTCCTCGAAAATGAAGGGATCCAAACGGCCCCTAACAGATATGCTGCCTGAAATTTACTCTTTGTTATATATATCGAGGTAGTTGCCCTCAACAAGTCTATTGCTAACTTTCACATGCTGTCTTCATCTTTTATCATGATTATTCAATTCCCACCTACATCCTGGAAGAATTGACACATAATAAAACTGCTATTTTCTGTCATTTATAGAACTCTTTAACTCAAGAAATGCAGCCTCCGCCCGGGCCCCTGAAACTATGAATATATTTGGATGTTTGTGCGTACTTTCCTTATTAGATGATGAAACTTTGTATACTAGAATTACTTCTGATGTCTGTTTTGTTTGTCAGTGTTCTAAATTTTTTTATCACTTGCTCTTTCTTATCTTATTATCTAAAGGCAGTTTGTTACTTGAACAATCATGGAGAGGACTATAAGGGTGGAATTCTGCAGTTTCAGGATGGTGATCCTTCCTCTATTGTTCCAGTTGCTGGTGTAAGCAAATCTACTTTTACTTTGCATCCGTGTTGTTTCAGAATACTTTTCTTATGAAGCACACATATTTGTTGATTAGTAAAATGTTATTAGGTAATTTTGTTAAGTTTTTTGAGAAGTACCTTTTTTCCCCAGGATGTTGTCATATACACAGCTGATAATCGTAATGTCCATTGTGTAAATGAGGTACATTCTGTTTTCTGCATTATCCAAAGTTTCTTTTATTTTGTTCTTGATTTTTTATTGGATATTTGGATGCATATAAACTCTTTCAAGTATTTTCAATCTTTTTGAAGGTTCTTGCATGCCCTTTCATGTTTGCCAACAATTACAGCATGTTTTGCTTTACAGGTAACTGAAGGGGAAAGGCTCACCCTGACTCTTTGGTTCACTAGAGACCGTGCTTATGATGAGGATCCGAAACTTCTTAATTTTCTCTCTCAGACATCATTGAGCTGTGAACGAACTGAGAAAAACTCTTATATTCCTGTGCCAGCTTCTGATAACATGTATTGGTTTTCCTATGATCAGTCTGGTTTTGACATACGATGTGCTAGAGTGCATGTTCGTGGGTTTAGTTTTCACTCAAGCAGTGGTGAATACAATATATCTGTGTTACCAGCTGAAGATGACCCAATAGAGTTGCTTGGAAAGGAACTGCGGCTCGGGAGGGGAGATGATGTCTTTGAGAAAATATTTTCTAACAGCTTGCATGCTCTTCAGGTATGTTCATTCTTTGAGTGGCCTTAATGTCTGCTGTTCACTAAAAGACATCAACATCATATATCACTCCTTTGTGACCAACTATATGTTGCTAGTTCAGGTTGCACTTATCTTAATGTTATTCTCTAAAACGAGGTGTAAAGTATTACTTTTCCCTTTTGTGCTTGTTTTTTTAGTGAAGCACTAACCATAGGTGCACAATAATGCCATGTCAAGTTGACATGTCTGTGGTTGTTACATCTATCTATCTCTTAAATAGGTGGTGCAATTCTACTACTGGAAAAAACATGAGTTGGCAACAAGGAGGGAACGAAGTGCTGTCGGTTCAGGAACAGTCTGCTTTCCAATTATACATCATTCAAAAGGAACAGAACTACCATTGCCATGCAACCACTCACTTGCACAAACTATATTTGGCTCATATAATACTGAGGAGATTTTCCAGTGGAATGATTTTGCATTAGCTGTTGCTATGTGGGAAAAATATTCAGAAGAGTTAAAGAAACAGCTGTTGACATTTTTGCCATACTGGCTGTCCAATGAAACCATTTATGTTGTTGATACCTCTCAGCTCCAGGTATGTAAGAAGCTAAGGAGCGATCTGGTGAATTCGAATTAAATAATCTATGTCGCATTTCAAGCTGCTTGACCTTGACTTTTCCTTTTTAGCCATGAACTGATTGTAGCTATTGGATTAAATGCAGATTCCACAGAGTTTTGTTCCATTTGAATAATCTCTCTTAAAAATGGGGTACTCCCTCTAACCACAAATATAAGTCCATCTTGCTTTCTTCCAAGTGCACCCAATATAAGTCAATGACGTGCAACCTTTTGATTTATTCTTCCATGCGTGCCCACGCTTAAACACATCATGAATGCAATAAACTTGCCAGCTATCCTGACTATAGCGATATTTGAATGGCAATAGTGTCATTGTACCTCTTACCTTCATTCTTGTGCTCAAGTCCACATGGACTTGTATTTGGGGTCTGGAGGAGTATAAAACATCATGGTAACCAGTTTGTGATAATTACATTTTAGATAATTTCAATTGGCATGATCAAAAATCTTTTACAGCACCCAGTGTTTCAAAAAGCGATAGGCGCCATGTAGGTGGTTGGGCTCTGCCTAGAGACTAGACTTTGCTAGGCGTTTATACTTTTTGTGTGCAGTTAGGGTAATACCATGATAGATAGGAAAATTTGCATATCAGAATAAAAAAATGATTTTGTCATGCATCCACGATTAAATAATCGCAATTCATCTTCTTCCATATCTAATTTTTCCCATTTCCATTCATGCATCAAGCCCAAAACACCTCAATGTGGAAAAAAGCCAAGACAACACCTAGGTTCTAGGCGAGGCGGTACAACATCGCCTATCGCTAGGGATCACCTTATTAAACAGCGGTTTTACCACTCTTGGTGAAGAATGTGATGTGCATGCAGTATGAAGCTTCATCATGAAATTGTTCTGTTGTATTTTTTTTTTCATGCTTGAGGTAGAAATTCTGTCATCCAAGAATGGAACTTGGGTCAGCATGGATGACGGACCAAATTTACTAGGAAGAACCAACCTATGGCCTGAAGCATTGGAAGGCCATTGGTTGGTTATTCCTGGAAATAATATCAGCTGACAAAGCTACCATGCTCTCTCTTGCTCCCATACAAACACCAGGGTGCACAAGGTTCCTAATTTGTGGAGTCTGTAGAAAGTATTCTTACGGTCGAATCCTATATTGCATAAATAGTTTCCGTTGGTTGGACCTGCTTGCACGTCAGCGCATACACATTACATCTCGTCTCCATGTTTCTTTGGCAGATAAACCACACACCACGTTAAATCCTTTGCATTTTCTTAACTTTCCAATGCCAGTTACCACAATGTCTCATTCAAATTTTATACAGAGAGCTGAACCAATCTAACTCTCCAATGGAAATTTGGGCTGCCTCATTCTTTTGCGACATAGCTGGGTCGTAGATATGTTTCTCTCAAACTCCACTGGGAATACTGATACAATATATTCCCATCAGCATCGTAGAAGGTGAATTCAGCTTGGTCCTGCTGTAGCTGGAGGGACATGAACCCTTGCCCATCATAAAAGAACTTGAGCTTGTCTTCATTTGGCTGGAAGAATCCTCTCCATGCTCTGGAACCACCTCCGCTTGTGAAGTATTGAATTGGACTGTAACAACAGAGCATGTTCAGTTTTAATTATAGGTAAGACCACTTCACCTAGTGTGAATATATTGGATATTAACATGCATGTTCAGTTCTAAATTATTGTGAAAATTGACTTTGTATAAAACGGATGTTAACCTGTCTCTGCTGCTTATGTGTTCCAGGCAGTGGTCATGCCCATTGATGTAGAAGTCGACGTCATTAATCTGGAATGACGTAAAATTATGAGTACCAAAAGATTCTTTTGTATTTGGAGGGCTAATATTGTGGCTACTTCTGATAACCTTAAGGATTGGAAGAAGCAGTTGCAGAAGCTCCTTGGTGTCACCATGGTGGCTGACACTCCTCATGGTATGATGGCCAACGGCAATCTTCCACTTTCCAGTTGATTTCTTCAGCGCCTCATCCAAATTCTAGATGATATAATTCGTGAAGGAGGAATAAATTAATTTTCCTACATGACATATTATCACTGTCTGTCATTGATGAATTCATCATAATACGCACCTTCAGCAAGTTGGCTATGTATGTCTCTCGAGGTGCTACTACTCTCCAGTCATAATGATTTACTTTCGGGTGAGTCCAATATTTCAGTTGAAATGGGGTGGTGTCAATAAAAAAGAAATCCGCGATTTCTGAAAGGATCGTGTCAGAGCTTGCCCTCAATCTCAGAATCTTCACAACCCTGCAAATTTTTTTTCTGGTTTGACTGAAATACAAATTTGCACCTGCATTCACGATGAATGATCTCATGCAAATAAACCGGCTGTCGATCTTCCTAGGGCTGGACTAAACTGAGCTAGTGCGTCACCCTTGTAGTCATGATTTCCCAGAACTGAACGCAAGCACATACAATGTACAAGCCTCAATGAAGATATAAATAAATAGAGTATTTTCGTCGTCGCATCAATAGAAATGGCAATAGAAGAGCGCTAGTTTCAGGTGCAGTAATGCTTGCCTAGGTACCACGGCTTCTGTAAGCTGTTCGCCGTGTAGATGTCCGTGAACGATTGCTCAAACGCGTCGTCGTCAACGCCCGTCAGCCCGGTGTCGTAGAAGTTATCCCCGGTGGAGACGACGAACCTATTCGTTTAGTTTATAAGCCGTATTTTTTATTCAACAAATAATATTTTTATTTCATAGTAGATTAACCAAGCAAGTATTTTTAGGCGCATGACGACTTATCGAACAATGACGAGGCTCCCCCCCGACACTTCCCATCTGTAGGAAATCCGCTGATTACTACTACTGCTTTTACCGGTTATTACAGTCCCCCGAGGTTAATCTTCTGTCCTGTTCCTGTGATTCGTAGATCCACAACTGCCGGGAGCCTTTTTTTTTCTTCTTTTGGTCCATTTCCACCGATGCGCACCAACAAACAGGATAAAAAAAATCACGAGCACGCGCCACTGTGAGTAGGGCGTCGAGGCATAAATAAACAAGATCTGACGAGACAACTGTCACAACCGGTGATCTAGATCCTCCAGTCTCTGTCGGTTTTTAAGAATATGGTTTTTAGAAACTAGGTGGGATCTCTAAATGTTCCTAATTTTTGCTATTAGTTTTTGCCGGATTCTTAAAAACTAAGAATCTGTTATACCTAGCTTTTGCTAGTTTTTTTTTTACCTATAGAGCAATAAATGAAGCCAGATTATTAAAAACTAATGGACCCAAACACCCCATCAATTTTTGCTCGCTATCTAGATTTTATAAACTAGAGGCTAAGACTGATTTTAAGAATCCGAAAATGATCCAAACAGGCACTATTGTACGCAACCAGCTATACACTGGCCAGTTTCATTCCCACGCCTTTTCCGCCCAACGATAGAAAAACGGACACCTGATTTCCTGGAGTCCTGGCCCCCTATCCTGCTGACCACATATCCTGTACTCCGACGAACAGGAACGGATCATGCATGGGAGGAAGCCGGAGGGAGATGAACATGCTTCTTACCTGCTCGGCGACCTGGGACTGGTTGTACGCCCCCTTGCGGCCCCAGTCCCCGACGACGAGCAGGCTCAGCGACCCGTCGTTCTTGGCCGGGTGCTCCAGCCGAGGCAGCGCGGCGGCGGCCAGGACGGCGAGGAGCGTGGCAGCGCGGCCCTTCGCCATGGCCTAAAGGGTTCAAAATTTCAGCGAAATTTCATTCGAATTTTACGAAATTCGATAATTTCGGTGGTGGCCGAAAGAAAACTCCGAAATTTTTTAATACACTAATACATGTGCTGTATAACTCTAATCTTATATTTTTCTATTGTTTATATTGCATATTTTTCTATTTAATAGATATGTAGTCATAAATCATACTAATATTTGTTTAGATCCAAAATTTTTTAGAAAAAAACATACTTCATGTGCTAATCTCTAAAAAAAATTTGGCCAAATTTTGGCCGAATTTAGCGAAATTCAGTAATTTCGATGGTGGCCGAAATTTTGACGATACCGAAATTAAAAACGCCTTCGCCGCGCACACCGCACCACGGGAGGTCGCGCGCGGCAGGTAATCTGTCGGTAGTGTCTTGGCAGTTGGCACGTACTGTAGTACGTCGCATGGAAAGAATGGAACAAAAAGAGCAGTGGACAGTGGTGAGTGGTGACTGACCCCGTCCAATAGGCAGCCGATGCGTGAGTGGCTCACACGGCCCCCACGTCCGTCCGTCCGCCCCTTGATGATCTCCGCTATGATTGTTTTCGTTTGTACCGTTCCAAAAGATTGTCACGTACGGTTTTTACTGGGTCAATTTTTCTTAAGTTTTTATTAGGTTTGTAAAAAATATTAGTAATGTTTAGTATTTTTAAATAAGTTTATTATGAACATATATTCAGAGATTAATTTAATGATGCTTCTTTTACATCAAAATATTAATATTTTTTTTGAATATATTTGTTTAAAGTTGAAAATATTTAAATGCTCTTCGTGAAATGGATAGAGTATACCGTTTGGAAACGTCAAAATCGTCCTAGGTCATGTCTTTGGCCCACTATAGCTACATTAGCAAGAAACTGTTTTATCTCTTTTTTCTCTTAAAGTAAACTAAGAGCTAATAAATTTTTTTTTCTTCACCGGCTTTGACTCTTCGTGTAGTAAGGAGCTAGATGAATCCATACCAAGGAGGCATGTTGAAGTAAGGAGTGAGATGAAGCCATGCCAAAGAGACATAAGTCATGTTTGGGACAACTTGTGTCAAACCAAGCTCTGAATTAAAGCTGGCTTTGTACCACAGATACCTTTCATAAGAATCATGGGGATAAAAAACTTATCGTTTAATGTGCCAGATTTTAGGGGAGAAGAACTCACGACGTAAAGAAAGGGGGTGACATTGGCGTCCCCTCATGGGCATTGGGCATGGCCTCCATACTTGGGCTACGGCGAGGATGAGGAGGGTGAGGTGGGTCTCGGCGAGGAGGTAGGCTGCCCGTTAGCGACGGACTCTCAGCCCGTTCGGTTGGCTGGTTCGTTTCGTTGCTGGTTCGTTAAGAAGTACTGCTGGCTGGTTTGTGTGTGAGAAAAATACTGTTCCGGCTGAAAATTTACGATCGTTTACGACAAGCCACAGCCAAATGAACAGGCTGTCTACTCGCGGAGCTGCTGCAACTACCATAGTGGCTGGACTCTCCCTAGCTCCGGCTTAGGCCCTGTTTACTTTGCTGAAAAGCCAGACTAAAAAATACTATCCGTTAATTTATTATGAGAGAAAAACACTATTACTTAACTAAAAAAATACGACTGATAAGCCAAGCGAACAACTTAAGCGTAGCGTGAAGCCTGGGGAGCCCAGAAAACGCAGCTCCGCCGACTCCTGCTGCTGTGTAGGCAAATGTAGCAGGAAGCCGGAGCCCTTTCTTCGTTGCTAGCGCGCACAGTAACAGCGGGAGCAGGAGCTAGAACCGCTCGCACGGAGCCGTGCCAAAGACTCCCTCACCTCCGCTCCGGTGGTGGGCGAGGGGCCCTACTCGTGGAGCCACTCAGCAACTACCGTGGCGAGGCCGGCTCCCTCCGCTCCGGAGGAGGGAGGGTGAGGTGCGGGCATGGGCCAAATTGTTCCGACGGCAGTGAAATGTCTCGAGTGACATTGAAGCGAGTACATGACAGATGAACCACATCTCGTACTTAAATAAATGCTACTAATACACTTCCTCTGTAGACCGCGTATGCCGTTCATCACAGTGTCACATTAATTCGAGCTTTACATTGATCAGAATCGATCTCTATTCTCCAGCTGCTGATTATTCTCGCTCCTGCTTCATTCGTCGTTGACATAGCCGGAGGCTTGGAGGTGGCCAGCAGTCTTCCTCAGGCTCGGCCGCGCGTAGTGGTACAGCTCCTTCCCATCGACATCGTAAAAGGTGAAATAGGCTTCGCTATGGTCTAGCTGGAGGGACATGAACCCTTGCCCATCATAGAAGAACTTGAGGTCATCTTCGTTGGTGGTTCGCACTCCTCTCCATGCTTTCGAACCGCCTCCGCTTGTGAAGTATTGGATTGGGCTGCAGCAGCAGAAACGTACGTGTCCCTTAGTATTAGGTAAAAAACCGATGATTCTCGGCTATAAATCACTGCAAAAGTTGAGTTTGGATATATACCAAATATAATGGACACTAACCTGTCTCTGCTGCTAATGTGTTCCAGGCAGTGGTCATGCCCATTGATGTAGAAATCCACGCCGTTGGCCTGGAAATTAAATGGCATGGAACTGTTATTGGAAGATTACTCCTTCTCATAAAACTTGTGAAGACAATGTTGTTGATGATTCTGAGTTATACCTGGAGGACTGGAAGCAGTAGTTGCAGTAGCTCCTTAGTGTCGCCATGATCACTGACACTCCTCATGGTATGGTGGCCCACAACAATCTTCCACGCCGCAGATGATTTCTTCATGGCCTCGTCCAAATCCTGAATTGTATATTATATATAATCCACAACAAAAAGAACGATTTATTAAATAATTATATATAGCTCCAATCATCATAGCTCTGCTTATCATTGATGAGCTCATTCGAGAATATATTTATGCACCTTGAGCAAATTGTTTATGTATTTTTCTCGCGGTGCCACTCCTCTCCAGTCATAGTGATCATCTTTAGGGTGAGTCCAGTACTTGAGTTGAAACGGAGTGGTGTCAACAAAGAAGAAGTCCACAATTTCTGGTAAAAGGATGGCAATGATATGTTACAGTTACAGTTAGTCTTTCTGTTTTTTTCCCATCATAGTTTTCGCATACCTAACATGTTCCTCAATTCAGAACGAAGAAAATACGATTTTGTACCTGCATTAACGATAAATGATTTCATGCAGATGAATCGGCTGTCGATCTTTTGCAGGACTGGGCTCAGCTGTGCGAGCGCATCACCCCTGTAGTCATGGTTTCCCAGTACTGAATGTAGTAGATATGTCAGTTTTAGTACAGATAGCACGTAAGTATATACATCATAAAAAATTAAAGAAATGGTGTTGTAGCAACACGAGCGACGGAAATCGTACCCAGGTACCACGGCTTCTGCAGGCTCTTCGCCGTGTAGATATCGGTGAAGGATTGCTCGAACGCCTGGTCATCCGTGCCCGTCAGGCCGTTCTCGTAGAAGTTGTCCCCGGTGGATATGACGAAGTCGATGTTGAGCTGCTCCCCAACCTTGCCCATCTACACATGGGAAACCACTCACTGTTTATTGGCTGTTCGTCACCGAGCACTAACATAGCAGCAACTTTGCTTGAGTAGTTGAGTGCACTGTGTGCATGTGCACCAGCAACAAGAAGAACAATCGTATTCTTTTAGAGAGAAAAAAGAAAATCAGAGCGTGCGCCGGCCGGCCATTGGGCCATCGACGGTTTTTTTTTGGAGACGGAAAAAGGCTTCCATTAAAACTGTTGGCCGAGTAGCAGGAACATCATCAGGCCAAAGCATCGACGACTTCTGCTTGGCAGTAATAAAAGGAAGAAAAGCGACAACCGATGATGGAGACTTCCATTATTATTGTTCCCAAAGTCTCCTTCACCCATTGGCATTAGCCGGCCAATCGACCGCGGCTATCGGCATGTGGCCAGGATACATCGCGATCGTCCCTACCTCGATGAGAAGAAAAATCTTGACCAAGGTTGCATTCCTACTGTCTATGATTTAGTATATATGATATATACTAACAGCGGATCAATCAAGATGTTAAGAGAAGCAGAGGATTCCTGGGCAGTAGTTGTCTGCGGTGGTTACCTGATGGGCGACCCTGGACTGGTTGTACGTGCCCTTGCGGCCCCAGTCGCCGACGACGAGCAGGCTGAGCGAGCCGTCGTTCTTGGCCAGGTGCTCCAGCCGGACCAGCTCCGCGGCGGCCGGCGCGCACAGGAGCGGGGCCACGGCGAGAAGGGCGAAGAACGCTGCAGCGGCCATAGCAGCGCTGCCCTGCGCCATCGTCGATCGGTCTCGTCCGGCACTGGAAGCAAGAGCCGAGAAGCCGATAGATGGCACGGCCGGGCTTGACAGCGGCCGAGATATATAATATCAGTTATCAGGGGTGGTAGCACGCGACGGCAAGTCACTGCCTGGGTTGGGTGTCTTGCAAGCATTGACGGCGGATACTTACGGTGGAGACTGGAGGAGGCTCCGGCTGTCCCTGTCCCTGTCCGGTGTCCGCCCAATGGGAGCGGGTGAACGGGCGACGAGGCACACGCCTGCCAATAATCCTTCTCCGGTTCTCCTCCCGCTTTCTGATTACTTGTCGCGGTTGGAGACGTCGAAACAGTTTCGCTTGCGTGTCATCCACAGCGAACGATAATGGAAAGCGGCGTCGAGAAAAGACAGAAAAGCCAGGATAGTGCGATCCATGGGGTGTGCTCGCATTATTGGCGCGATCCATGTGCATCCAGTCCATGGAGTGGAGTGGCGGGGTGAGCCGTGAGCCAGCCTACTGGAGTGATGGGCGGTCATGACTCATGACTGATGACCTGGGTGACTGGGTCTGGGTGGGTTCCTTCCGAATCAGCAGCTTGGAGCTTTTTCGCACGCCTGCGGCCGTGTTTCGCTCTGTTAATAAAAAAAGTGGAGCAGCCACGTTCCAATGTGCTCTGTTGATTGTTTTCTTGGCCGGATCAGAGCTCACAGTTCGGACAGGTAAGAAGCGGTGAAGGCCGTGAACTGGCAGGATCACGTTGCCTCACTGTAGATTGTTAGATGCGAATGCAAGTTGGTGCTCGCGCACATTGCCAATATAGAATGGATTGTATGGTATGTCTTCTCTTATCTTAGACTAGAAAAGGAAAGCGAGAGACAGAAAGGAGCTTTGCCTGTAGGACCACCAATACCGTGCCCATGTGCCGTCAGCTGCATAACCTGCAGTTTGTTCATTCGGATGGTGCCACCGTGCCATTATTATTGTGTTCTTCTGCCTGAAATTTCTCTTGCGTTTTCGAGCAGAAAACTTCTACATTTCTGGACGAAGGCGCTGACGCAGTGCGAGTTTCAGGAGCGAAAGCAAATCGCTTGGTGGGCTCATTAGGAGCAAGAAAGTCTTGCTTGCAAGGCCGGCACAAGGTTCCAACAGGATGTTGGACAATACAGACGGGAAGTGATCCGTTACGACCGACCTACTACATCTGGAAATGACTGAAACCGGACGCCTTTCTTCCCTCCTGCTCCGTGCCCCCCTTTTCATGCATGGTCCGTCCCAATCTCTCCAATTTCACGGATCCATAGCCTCAGCCTCTGACATACATGAGGGCGATGTTTTGTACAGATCAATAGCGCAAGACCAATCCAATTTATTCCTCATCCAGATAGGTGGAGGTCCGGGGATGTCCGGTTTTGCTTGAGCTCCACTGGTACAGTATGTTCCCGAAAACGTCGTAAAAGATGAAGTGAGCCCGGTCTTGGTTCAGCTGGAGGGACATGAACCCTTGCCCATCGTAGAAGAACCGGAGCTTGTCCTTGTTTGGACGGAAGATTCCTCTCCATGCCTTCGAACCGCCACCGCTCGTGAAATACTGGAGCGGACTGAAACAGCAGAAGCAATTGCACAAAAGGTTTAGAAACTTGGAAACTGAACTGCTCATATTCTGAAAGTTACTTGAATTCGTCTCTGTATCGTATGGTATGTATGGTGCCTGTACCTGTCTCTGCTGCTAATGTGTTCCAGGCAGTGATCATGCCCATTGATGTAGAAGTCGACGCCATTGTCCTGAATGGTGAGAAAATTTTCACAAAAAAACTGGGGGTTATTATGGACCTTTCTAAAAGTTGAGACCAATTGACTGAAGTAGCTTCTGAAATGTAACCTTGAGGACTGGAAGTAGTAGTTTCAGAAGCTCCTCGGTGTCCCCATGCTCACTGACACTCCTCATAGTGTGATGCCCAACGACAATCTTCCACCTTGCAGTTGATTTCTTCATAGCCACATCCAGATCCTGCATTGCAGAATATAAAAAAAAGTTTCAGAAAAACGAGTTTGCTTTCATATGTAGCTTTTTCGCGCACTGATCTGAATGTGTTCCGAGTGCGCACCTTCAGCAAATTGGCTATGTATTTGCCTCGAGGTGCCACCCCTCTCCAGTCATAATGATGCTTGCCAGGGTGAGTCCAATACTCCAGTTGGAATGGAGTGGTGTCGACAAAGAAAAAATCCACAAGTTCTGACAAGATTTGGAATGAAGCCACACATTTCAGTCTTGCTTGCCTTGTTGCAGTTTTATTAGGAGATTAGTAATCCTCTCCAGGTTCAAATGAATTACGTTTTTCTGTACCTGCGTTAACGATGAATGATCTCATGCAAATGAATCGGTCGTCGATCTTTCTCAAGACTGGGCTAAGCTGTGCGAGTGAATTGCCCCTGTAATCATGATTTCCTAGAACTGAAAAGGATAATGCAGTCTTAGTAGTTCACATAAATTTCGTCACCGCTCAGTCCAAATGGTAATAACCAAGGCAAATGGTGGAAAAACATGGAGGATTAATTACCTAAGTACCATGGCTTCTGTAAGCTTTTAGCTGTGTAGATATCCGTGAACGATTCTTCAAATGCCTGGTCATGCAGGCCCTTGAGGCCGTTCTTGTAGAAGTCGTCCCCGGTGGATATAACAAAGTCGATGCCGAGCTTCTCCCCGACCCTTCCCATCTACATAAAAAAAAGGTTAATTGCAAATTTCTCCAGTCAGAAGCTGTTGGTATTATGAATCAACATGGTAAAGGTGCCACCATAAAAATATAACTATCAAAGCATGTAGAAATATTTGGATGCGACATTGTAAAATGGTATGAAAATAGTCATCGCAAATAACATTATCATGGTATTTGTAGTTTAGCGATTTGATAAATGTACGCACCATCAAAAAAGTTAGTAGGGATGGAATCTGATCCGCATATCACCTTTTTATTAGATTTTAATTCAAATTCGAATTTCAAATATGAATACAAATCGGATGTGTCGGTGCGAAAAGTGGCCAACAAGTAAATATTTGTAGTTTTGCCATGCGTTGTGATCGGATGTGACCTAGCACTCAATGACACAGGATTTATACTGGTTCAGGCAACATGCCCTCCAGTTTCAGTCGGTTTGTGACTTTATTCCTGAGCCCAGGTGCTCGAAATTTGTTGTAGGGTTACAAACGAGTAGGAATAAGAATGGGTGTTAAAGGCCTGGTCGGACTCTGAACCGAGGGACTGAGAGCGACGGGGGCTCTAACAGGGGCTCTAACGTGCGCTAAATATTGGAGCGTATGCTCTGTGTAGCTTTAGAGTTCTAGAACTATTAAGCTATTCGAGTTCTCGGGTCCTTGAGTGCTCGAATCGTCTAACTTCTCTTTTTTGAGGAGAGCCAGAGAGCCAGAATCAGAATAGCCAGATCCTTTTTAGGAGAGAGCTCATCCCTTTTTATAGTCGAAGAGGATGGACTTTTACAAGTCAGAGAAAGAGAGAATGTATACGTGTGCTACTTAGTCTTGTTACCCACGCTGTCGGGTACAAGACGGTCGTCGACGTCCACGATACTGTTTATGTCCAGATGCATGTGCCAGCTCTACCATGTTTGTCTGGTATGACAAATGTCGACGTCTACAATACTGTTTGGGTTCTGACACGCCTGTAAGGTTGCATAGTGCATATCTGGCATAGCCTGGTGGCACCGTCCTGTAGGTGCGTAGGGTATGGCAGGGTACGGTCCTCGGTATTACGGTTTAACTTGAGCGCCTTACCTTATATGCTCCGCCTGATCCTCGGGCCCTCACCGAGTGGGCGTCCTCGGTTGGTTGTTCTCAGTCAGCCCCGACCGTGTCGATCGGGGAAGAGCTGCGAGTAGAGGTCCGGTGTATCCCCGGTCGAAAAAGAAGGTCGGAGTTGGACTATGTCCCACCTTGGCCAGGCCTTCCGGTCGAGGACCGAATCGTTCTCCCAGCCTGTTATTAGGTACTTGGGCCGCCCCGGGAGGCACGCGTTGTCGCTACGCCGTCCGCTGGGCAGAGTTTCTGGGAAGCGGACCCATTGGGGACCCTAGATTTATGAATCCGACATGATGTTCTATTCGGATATTTATTCAATTGTATTCAAAGTGCATATTGTTAAATTCATTATATATGAATAAAATTTTACTACTAAGTTCATCACTAACCGGAGTGAAATAAAATCAAAATACACTTATAATAATATCCAATATCGAAGTGAACTAAATTATAATGGATAATATTTAATAAAATATAGGTCAAGTGAAGAAATTCAAATAAGAACAGTAGGCAACAAATAGCTATTTTGTTTTATCAATGTTTTCGTAATTACAAAATATTACACAAGTAGAGATTAAAGTATGCACATATATAACATAGACAAAGATAACCCATTAAATATTATAGTTATTAATAAATATTTAATAATTAAATATACCAATTAATCAATCATTATTTATATAATATTTTCATGAAATTATAAATGATATGAAATAATTGACATAAGTAAAATAAATTACAACAACAATTATGTTTGGTTTAAACTTAATTAGAAAATACTAAAATTAGTCTAATATTTATGTATCATTAATAATGTTAAGTTAATATTAAAAGTTATTTATAAATATACTATTAAATAGTTTCAATCATAATTAGTGATATTAAAATTAAATAATTAGTCACTATTCTTGGAGAGAAAACTTTTAAATAGATTCGTTCTATCTTATTCTTTGTGGATACGAACAAATATCGGATATTCCACATTGTTGTCGAATACGTATCTTGTAATCGGATAGAGAAAAATACTGGAAAACAAATTTGAATATGTCCATTTAGACCCCGTTCGCTCGGAGGAATTTGGAGAAATTTAGATAAATCTGGAGGAATTTGTGAGATGAAATCAGCCATGAACAGTGAAATTCAGCCGTGAACCGTGCTTTCTCCATACCAGCCGAACGAGGCCTTAGTATCCACATTACAAATGAA